TTAAACTTCATAATAGAAAACAAATACCTGTCTAATTATAATTAAAGCTTGCTTGCCTATCACACTCCGGGCACTTATGCAATCACATACTCCACAAGCGTATCTTCACCCTCCAAATACTGCAGAATCCCAGCAATAACTAATTACTAAAAGCTGAAAACACTGAATTTTTCCACTCGGAAGTAAATGAGCATGGAGCCAAAAGAGATATTAAATATATCTTTAGACACAGACAAAGAAAGTGAAGAATGCCAGAATTTGAAACAACAGTCAAACTTTTATAGGAGCTGAAGCTGTACCTTATTACAACTCATTATAAAATTTAAAGGAAAACTCCACTTTGTCTAAAACGTGATTATATATGTATACAATTGCTACACAAACCATTTTGTAATGTTTGTATGTTGTACTAGACTTGTATCCTGTATTTATCTTGTATCCAGTCCTCTCTTGTATCCTGTTCCTGTCTTCTATCTTGCTTTCTGTTTATGTCTTGTATCTTGTCACCAGTCATTATTATTGTCATTAAATATGAACTTTCCATTTCAGTCTGCAGCTGCTATGATTGATATGGAGTGCAAAAAATAAAACATACTTATCTATTTCTATGGCTAAGCTCCTTTATTGGCCAGAAAAGAAATGCATACGTGCGTCAACAACAGAAATGTTGCAGAATCTCTCTTCCAGAGAGAATGCAACGCCTTCCGGTTCTGGCAATGCTGAAGTAAAAGGTGTATGTTTTATGGGCCTTTCTCTAGCGGTCCTCCACTGGCGGGATGTTGACAGCAAAAGAATCACTTAGGCATGACATAGGTATGAGGCATGACATAGGCATGAGGCTTAGCTTCTAACTGTCCGTCTTTTGGAACACAATTACAATTAGCGGTCTATACTGAAGTATAGACCGCTATAAAAAATATACTACACTAATCCTTTCATCCAACCTCTAAAATATTGCTTTTGTTATTTGGAAAGCCAGTATAAAGGTAAAACAGGCGGTGATACAAAAATGACTTGTGAGTTTAGAAAATCGTTCTTGTGTAATGATTCTTCATGGTCAGCTTGTCTGGGGGTGTTGCAGGGCTGTGCCCCATGCCTACATACTTTGCACTAAAAGGTCTCCCTCTTTCTTACCTCAAAGAGTTGGAATCTATGCCTAAGGCAAAGAGCAATGGGGAAGGTTCAGTAGCCCCTAGTATCTAGTCAACTTATCCTTCAGTGATGTATACCCAGCAACTTAAAGGGACTGGTTGCTATGGATTTGTCTTTGCTACATATCATCATTGCTTTGCAACTCCTTGTCAGGACCGGATGCAGACACTCTAGTCAGAGTATATAGTGGCAAGTTTCTTCACCTCTTGCAGCCGCCTTTCCCCTAAGGCAAGTACGACTACTGGTTCTCAGTGCAGAGCAGTAGTACTGACTGGTGACAAGGTACAAGACATAAACAGAAAGCAAGATAGAAGACAGGAAGGGGATTGAAGATACAAGCGAGGACTGGATACAAGACATATACAGGATACAAGTCTAGTGCAAGTTGCTTGCCTCCCCCTTTTGAAATCACAAATGGGACGCGACAGGGGTACAGTCCCTTTTCTTGGAATATGGTACACTGTCGAATCTATCCATTAATTACACTAAATCGGAAGCACTTAACATTGGTCTACCTCCTGAGGTGGTGCTCGAACTGAGGAAGGCCTTCTCCTATAGTTGGGCTTCCTCATCGGTTAAATATCTATGCATCCACCTACCAGCCTCACCATCGGAGTTGTTCCGCCTGAACTACGCACCCATGCTACAGATCCTCTCCCAGGATTTA